TAAAGGTCACCGTAATATCTTTCAGAGTTATTGTCTAAATCCCGATATACATGCTAAAAAGCACAACTTAAGTTTTAACCATATGTATATATTACAAGGTAATATTTCAGATGGTTTTCAGTTTGTGAATGTAATAAATATCATTTAGACATTTTTTGTAAATTTTCTTTAATCAATGTGAAAGAATTCAATGTAAAATGTTTTTTCCGTTAAAATGTTATCAAGGTATGTACCGTATATTTTAATAATAATAGTCAATAAATATAAATTTTGGTATACAAATATAATACAAGAAACTCAGCCCTGGAAACTCTATTTACTTTATAATACAAATAATGTGTATATACATATCTTTAATTAAAAAGGCATATATTGGATCAAAATATCATTTATTTTAACAATATTTCAGTTGGCTGAACGCCAACCTTTATCAAGGTGTTATAACCTGGCGTTCAGCCAACTGAAATATTGGTAAAATAAATGATATTTTGATCCAATATATGCCTTTTTAATATATAATTATCTATGCATTGCTCTATTTTCAAAAAAATATACATATCTTGTAAAATAATCCAATATTTAGGAAAGTGTAAAGAACGACCCCAAAATGAGCTAGGATAGTGTGCGCACTGACAAAGTCCACGCTTCAAAATATAATTTTAAATTCGTATATCACTTTCATCCAAATTTGTAAAATTATTTTATTTTGTGGCAGAGATTAAGTGACTTAACTTTCTTTTACTTCTACTTTCTTTTAATTTAGCGTTATATTTTTAATAAAAAAAAAACGAATTTTTAACATTTGGGCTTCCTATTTAGGAATTTTGATTCTACATTACATATTATGTAGAAAGAAAATCTATATTACACACCTAATGGTTGAATAATATGTAAAGAGGTGGTTACAGTAATTTATAGATTGGTCTATGTAATTATTTATTACAAATCAATAACGCTATATACGCTGTATAATGAATGAAGACATTAAGACGCGAATGTTTCTTTTTACGAATAAATCAAATTTCTACTGTCCTTATTTATCCCAAATACACGTGGTACAGCCAATAATAACCATTGTGTATATTAATATAGTTTAGTACAGGGGTCGGATTACAATTTACAAAATTTAGAAGTTTTTAGAAACTCCGCCTTTGCCAGTTCCAAGCCCGGATGAAAAAGGAGGAGTGGAAGCAGTAACAAGCTCACTTAAAAACCTGGGCTCAGCTGGCCCGGCTGATAGTACCCTGTAAGGGTTCCTAATCCAGGGATACAGGATGAGCAGCGTTTGTACTCCATGTTAGGAGAGGCTGCACATGGCGTATGTTCCTCATGTCAGAGGCAGCCATTTCTTTTGAAGCTAAGTCGGCCTGCCACTGAGTAGTGCTCCCAGTCATGGTGACAAAGGCAGACGCATTCTACTTCACCCAGTGTGAAGATAAGAAAGAAGAAGTTTTTAAAGAGCCACAAAAGTTTTTCTTGCCAACAATAAATAGTACTCACATAAATAACATTTACGTATAGAACTATATAAAGAGCCGCAGTTTCACAATCAAAGAGCTGCATGTGGCCGCAGTTTGCCGAACTCTGCCCTAGTAATTTCGTCGTTTGTCCACAAAAACAAAGTAGTCAACCCTTTTCATTTATAAAATGAAATAACCATGTTTATTTTTTTATTGCTTGCACTTATTCGTGATGTGATACTTGTACAAGTATCAAATATTGTTTAGATTATTTTATTTAAAAATGTACTCATGGCTGGATTCATTCTCATTCCGAAGTTTTCGTATATTGAACAGGAATACCATTTTACAATAAACCATAGGAAATGAAGATTACAGATGTTGATGATTACTCTAGTTGTCAGGATTAGAGACTACTCAAACTGTTCACCACTCATCTATACGAGATATATGCAAATTTTCAATAGCAAGTGGTGTTAGAGTTTTAGAAGAATAAGATAAACATTCATTTAAATATTCAAAAAGGCTATCCATTCCATTCCGGAACTTAAACGAAAACATGCATTTATACAATTAAAGCAATACACTATATAATGATTGAAGTTTAGATCGATTTGAATTATAGAAAATATGGAAATAGCTGAAGTAGAAGCAAGAGTTATGCAAATCTATCTCAGTAGCAATCATAAGTTTTTTTATGATAAAAATACTTGAAGAATTGACTTCTAGATATTTCTGTATAAAATATGAATATCTCGTAAATTGAATTTCTCTTCTTAACTTATATTATTTTAGGAAAATGCATATTTAGTGGAAAAAGGAGCCACATCAATTTTACATATAAAGAAACAAAAAAAAATACACTCTAAAAATAGACCAAAAAATAAACATAATCAGAAATTGCTCATATTTAAATATACATTTTTGTAATATTTTATGTAAATTTTATTGCGTATATATGTAAAAGAGTTCCTAATTTTATAAAATATCTATAATTAAAACCAACATTTTAACTTACGAAACTATATTTAAAGGTCTACTTAAAAAAAATTTTGATTATATTGTAGTGTCTTAATTTTGATCGTTTATTTTGTTCAACTTGGAGTTCTCTGCCGAAAATAATACTAATATAAACGCAATATAAGAAAGACATACAACGAGAATATAAGACCTCGAAACAAAAAAAAAAACAAAATCAATCTTAAGAAGAAAGTGAAGAAAATGACTTCAAAAAAAGAAATTAAAGATGAATCGAAAGAAATGGAAAATTGGGCTTCCTTAAAAAAAAATGAAGATGAAGAAAAAGGTGATTGGGAATTTGTAGAAGAAATTGAAGATGAATCGAAAGATGATGAAGAAAGTGTATATATGACTTGCGAAGAAGAAATTGAAGATGAATCGGAAGAAAATGAATATTGTGCTTCTGTAGAAGAAATTGAAGATGAATCGAAAGATGAAGAAGAAAGTGTATATTTCACTTGCGCAGAAGAAATTGAACAAAGTGATCATTGCTATTATGTAGAAGATATTAAAGATGAATCGAAAAAAGAAAAAGGTGAATATTTGGGTCCTTTAGTAATAGAATTTGAAGTTGAATCGGAAGAAGAAAAAAGTGATTGTAGCTCTTCCATAGAAGAAATTGAAAGTAGATATTTGCCTTCTCTAGAAGAAATTAAAGATGAATCGAAAAAAGAAAAAGGTGAAAATTGGGGTCCTTTAGTAATAGATTTTGATGTTGAATCGGAAGAAGAAAAAAGTGATTGTAGCTCTTCCATAGAAGAAATTGAAAGTGGATATTTGCCTTCTCTAGAAGAAATTAAAGATGAATCGAAAAAAGAAAAAGGTGAAAATTGGGGTCCTTTAGTAATAGAATTTGATGTTGAATCGGAAGAAGAAAAAAGTGATTGTAGCTCTTCCATAGAAGAAATTGAAAGTAGATATTTGCCTTCTCTAGAAGAAATTAAAGATGAATCGAAAAAAGAAAAAGGTGAAAATTGGGGTCCTTTAGTAATAGATTTTGATGTTGAATCGGAAGAAGAAAAAAGTGATTGTAGCTCTTCCATAGAAGAAATTGAAAGTAGATATTTGCCTTCTCTAGAAGAAATTAAAGATGAATCGAAAAAAGAAAAAGGTGAAAATTGGGGTCCTTTAGTAATAGATTTTGATGTTGAATCGGAAGAAGAAAAAAGTGATTGTAGCTCTTCCATAGAAGAAATTGAAAGTAGATATTTGCCTTCTCTAGAAGAAATTAAAGATGAATCGAAAAAAGAAAAAGGTGAAAATTGGGGTCCTTTAGTAATAGATTTTGATGTTGAATCGGAAGAAGAAAAAAGTGATTGTAGCTCTTCCATAGAAGAAATTGAAAGTAGATATTTGCCTTCTCTAGAAGAAATTAAAGATGAATCGAAAAAAGAAAAAGGTGAAAATTGGGGTCCTTTAGTAATAGATTTTGATGTTGAATCGGAAGAAGAAAAAAGTGATTGTAGCTCTTCCATAGAAGAAATTGAAAGTAGATATTTGCCTTCTCTAGAAGAAATTAAAGATGAATCGAAAAAAGAAAAAGGTGAAAATTGGGGTCCTTTAGTAATAGATTTTGATGTTGAATCGGAAGAAGAAAAAAGTGATTGTAGCTCTTCCATAGAAGAAATTGAAAGTGGATATTTGCCTTCTCTAGAAGAAATTAAAGATGAATCGAAAAAAGAAAAAGGTGAAAATTGGGGTCCTTTAGTAATAGAATTTGAAGTTGAATCGGAAGAAGAAAAAAGTGATTGTAGCTCTTCCATAGAAGAAATTGAAAGTGGATATTTGGCTTCTCTAGAAGAAATTGAAGATGAATCGGAAGAAGAAAAATTGATGTAGTTTGAAAGGTTGCATACCATTGATTGCTAATGTCTTTAAAAATTAAATTTTGAACAAAAATAGAGTTATAATGGCGTTATTTTTAGAATTTACCTAATCCATATGTTTAATTTAAGGAAATTTGGTTACGTTTAGATCCACATTGTTTACTTATCCTTGAACGATTCATTTCCATATTTAGTTGTATATATGTTCATTTTGCATATAGAATACCATACTTTTGAGTTTTGTGTGATATTGTAATAAATCTTCTTTCTCAGTCTGTACTATTGAAATTCTTTTTAAAACCATGAATTTATAAAAGTATTTGAAATGCATATTTATTACAAGGTTTTAATATCTACTGATAGTTTTCGTTTTGAAATTTGTAATAATAATTTTTGATATTGTGTTATTTGTGATATTATCAGTTTTCTGTAGATATTGAAACTCATCTTCTTTCGTGATTTACTCTATTTGATTATATAAACAGGAAGAGTTCTATCGCTTGAATAAAAATATACAATTTATAACTCCGCCTTTGCCGGTCCCAAGCCCGGATAAAAAAGGAGTAGATGGAGCAGTAACAAGTTCACTAAAAAACCTGGGCTCAGCTGGCCCGGCTGATAGTACCATGTAAGGGCTCCTAATCCAGGGATACAGGATGAGCAGTGTTTGTACTACATGTTAGGAGCGGCTGCACATGGCGTCTGTTCAAGTCAGAGGCGGCCATTTCTTTTGGAGATAAGTCTGCCTGCCACTGAGTAGTGCTCCCAGTCTTAATGACAAAGGCAGACGCATTCTACTTCACACAGTCATGATGGACAAGCTTGATATCCTAATATGATTGAGCGGAGATAATAAAGAAGAAGATACAATTTATGACACTTTCTAGAGGATTCTTATATACTGGCTTGAAAAGTCGTATTAAAAGGTTTTGCTTAAAAATATTTTATATAGGAAAATATTTTTCTGACTCCGACATTGCAAATTTGTACAAGAATTTGGCCCTTCAAAATATTCCAATGATATTAATCTGAGCTTTGAAGAAACTTCCTAAGACGACGCACAATTGATAAACGATCTAATGTACTAATGATAAAACTATGAGATTTTGATTAAAATAGTACCTTTAAATAGGTACACACATGATACGTAAATAAATTATACATTTTACATAAACACAATACAAAGTTTACTAAATTTATATCCTATTCAACATGCCGTTGTGTGAAAGTATGTTCAAATATAAATTATAAACATTATATATATATATGTAGTAATCCCGACCAAGCTGATGTGGAATGTACTGGGCAGTCGTGGACGTGGGTGCGTGATGGGATTCCCGCACGGGGACAGCAAGGAACAGAGGCAGGTCTAGATGGTAGCTCCAAGAGGTAGAGGTAGACCACGGACGAAGGCAGTCGAACCACGGGCGCCGCGGATGCCCAAAGCCTACTTACGGATAGAAGGGGGGGGGGGTGAGAGATCCGACCGACCGTATAACGGCGTCACTCTGAAAAACAACCTTGCCTCATTTTCTGGGCCCTTTTATACTGGACCCCCGCATATGGCGGAGAGTCCTGATTGGTTCTTGTAATCACCGCACTTCCTGGCGGCGTGTTGACGGGGTAATTAAACTCATTGTCGTCGTTTGGTCTACGTCTGCCTCTTTGTTTATTTGTTATATCCATTTTACAAGGTCGATACATATTTTTATATAGATACGGGGTTATAATAAATATCAGAAGAAGGTTGTGAACTATCTAACTCAAAATATACTACAGAATGTGTACCCGTTGATGAAGGTTTGGTTGGGGGAATGACATGTAATGAATGATGACCTAACAAACCTATTATAAAAAAATAAAAGAAATAATTTGTATACAAATTAGTTAAAATTATTATTAAGCTACAAGTTAAAAAGAGAAAGATGTGTGTAATGGTGGTGTATCAATGAAATAAAAATCAAGGTTATAAAAATAAAACGCACAAAATGATTGATAAAAGATTAAGAGAAAGTATATAATGCAAAATGGTAAATATGGTAAAATGAATCGTACACTTGATGATACACATGATCACTTGATGCAATGAAGATGAGTCCCTCGTGAGTTGCAAATGTCCCATTGCCCAGTTCAAGCAACAGCTGAGAGAAGCTGCTTCCTCTGTCGCCAAAGAGATGTGACCGCATATTGATAGTGAGAGATAACTTAACAATACTACTCCAAATATGAGAGCGTTTAAGGCATGCATTCACCTCGTCTGCTCGAGTGCCTTTGGAAATAACCGGTGAAGTTTGCCGGAAGTCCCCAACAAAAAGAAATGTCACCCCTCCCATTATGATGTTGTTATCCCTAAGATCTTTTAGAGTGCGATCAAGGGCCTCGATTGAGCGTCTATGAGCCATTGTGCATTCATCCCATATCAATAATGAGCATTGCTGTAGAATTTTGGAAGTGGCGGTCTGTTTAGCAATGTTACAGACTGCTATTTCATCATCATAGAGATTCAAAGGTAGCTTAAATAGGGAATGTGCTGTTCTGCCGCCATCAAGGAGTGTAGCGGCGATTCCAGAAGAAGCAGCAGCACAAACTGCTAAACCCTCTAAGCGCAATTTGGCTAACAAAAGATTAATAATAAAAGTTTTTCCAGTGCCACCAGGAGCATCCAAAAAAAAAAGCGTGCCAGCCCCCCTAGAGCGAACACTATTAAGAATGGCTTCATAACAATATTTCTGATCAGGATTTAAAGAAGATTCGCGGGTTGAAGCCAAAGTTTCTAGCTCATGCCTATCAAATATGTCTGATAAAAATGATGCTTCTCTGGGTGGTGAGACATTTTCAGGAAGAGGCAAACCCATACATGCAATACTTTTACCTGAAATTGACAGAACATGTTTATCAATTTCCAGTAACGCGGCATTGAAAACATCAGCATTGTAATCAAGTTCAGGGATAGTCATATCTCGTCGCATTCGGTGCAAAATATCTTCAGACATACACTCCTTATGAGCATGCCACAGCGTAAGTGTATCAGACATGTGGCAGAAGATGAGCATTGTAGAGAACAATGCTCTCACCGATGCTGCATTACGACATATAGATGCCTCTTTGAGAGTTTCATTCCAGTGAGAGTCGTCTTCTAGTAAGCCTAAAGCTTTGCAGGCCATTTGGAAGGTAGTGTGGATAACTCCTTCAACTGTGCGCAAACTCTGGAAAGAACATGGCCCTCTAATATGGAACAAAAGAAGTCTCAAATAGTAGCATTCAGCATTAGTTGGGTGAACTGTATAGACGCGGCCAAGAACATCACTTTTCCGCACACCAGGATATCCTTCTACAGGAGTACCCTGCTTTCTGCCTAAAAATTTATTGTTGGTCCAGGTATAGAAAGAAGGAACTTCACAGTATAATAGTGTCCTAGCAAATGTGTCTTGGTTACAAAGCTTAAAAAATGCTGTCAGAGTTGTATCTCTTGGATTTTAAATAACATTTTCTGCATTTGCAGTAGTGAAATAGACCCTCTGTCCATTTTCAAGGTGAAGCTAAGTGTACAATAGGAGGTGATCTTTCATGGATGCTGAAACCCAGAATCCTCCAAACAGCTTCTGCGGAACTTATATAGCGGCCAGACTGAAATTGGGTAACCTCATCAAGGTGATTCAAAGAGAAAACTGCCTGATCAGTTCCCTTATCAATGTATTTGCACACGTATTTGATGGCCTTTACGGAGCTGCAGTATTCCACATTTATATGGGAATCAAAAGCACGAAGGAGAACAGAATTATAGGGCACAATCCAGCGATTGTCAATTTCAAAAGTAACTCCTCGCATATTCACCGATGAAGTAAGACCACCTTCAGCAGGGCACCGTCTTCGGTATCGGGGATAACCATCTTCTGTTGTCGAAGTTGTCTCACAAAAACCTTTAGGATATTTTTGCTACATTTCCCATCCTTCATACATGGAGAATTTGTATTCAGAACCCCACATGGACCATGAACCATTTGTTTCATGACAATTGCATGAATCTCTGGGTCTAAGTTAATATCCGGAATCTCGGCTTGTATGACCTCATCAATTTGATTAGGTCTAATGATGTTTGTAAGCCAAAGCAGTAAATGCGCATGTGGTAGACCACGCTTCTGCCACTCTATTGTGAACATAAAACACTTGCAAGGCCCAAATAGCTCAGCCTTAGTCACTAAATAGATAAGTTTTTTTCATTTTAAGGTGAAAAACACGACTAATCAAATCATATCTATCTTTAGCAGAGTTATTTGAAAATAAATGCATCTGAATTTCTTTCCATTGAGGGTTGCATGTAAATGTTATAAAAAGCTGAGGCCCCTTCCATAGCTACGAACATAAGTCATTGCATCTTGGGTACGCTCATGCAGATAACGGGGACCACCAGTAAATGATGATGGCAGTATGACTATTTGGCCTATATTGGCTAAATTCTCATATGCTCGCAGAGCATCTTGCAGGTGAATATAAATTTCTGTCCGAAGCTTTTTCTGATTGCGCCGTATGAAGGAAAGCCTTTCTGATTCAACCTTAGCATACATATCAACCCAGAATTGATTTGTAAGCATGCCATAACGCAGTAGTGAGTTAAATTCCCCAGCACGAGCCATCATTCTGTAAGCATAAAAATTCATGCACGATACAGTCTTCTGCATTATTTCTCTAGTGGATGGATTGACTTGAGGTAGCGAAACAGAATAACCGACCTCACCCCTGCAAAAAATTAACGGGTATTGTAGAGGGTCATATGCTTGATGGATCTCGGATATTCTTTGAGTCAAATTATTACGACAATGTAATACAATATCTCTTGGCACAAATTCCTGACCTACCATCAGCAGAGCTACTTCATTGGTCATGGGCGCATTGTAGCGACGTTCATGCTCTTCTGGTGGAAGCTTATCAGAGTGTATAATAACCCGGTAGTCAGCGTGATTTTGAGGAAGAGTTTCTAAGGCTGCTTTAAAGGATTGAATATAATGATTGTGCGCATGCAATAAATCTTGCAAAGAGCGAACTAAATCTCTGTTCAAGTTTGCTGTCATGTTGCAACGTGCAGTAACCTGAGACTCATAATTATCGATAAAGTATATCTGCAGGAATTTGTGCTCACTATCAGGTTCTGGAAGGAGACTACCAATTACGTGGTAAACTTGGCCTTGGACTTTGAAAGTAGGCATATAACCTTGCTCCACAACTTGTCTAGCACCAAAAGATGTCATTTGGAATATAGAGTTATATCTACGGATATGCAGCAAGAAGGACTTCGATAGAGGATGTAGGCCAGAGAGCAAAGATAAAATAGGCTCTGGAGGGGACTCAATAGCAGGTAGAGAAACTCTACCTTGTTTACAACAGAGGCCAAAGGGTTCATCTCTAAATCTCAAAGCAGAGCAAAACTGGCATACCCGAGACATTTGGCCTATATCGACAGATGAATCAGCTTTATAATCAATATGGGCATTATACTGAAAACCTGAAAATGGCTTATGAGTCCAAAGCTGAATACGCTGAACAGGAACTTGCATAGTTTGTGTAGCTGCGACGCGGGCTTCAGAATACCTAAGACGGCGAAGCGCACGACGCGTCTCACTTTGAAGTGGTGTCTGAATAGCTCTAGCATTCCGTAATCTCCTGGAAGCAGCCGTATTCCTACCAATTAAAGGTCGGCTGCGGCGAGGCATATTTGGAAAAAAAGATTGAGATTAAATACAAAAGCTTAAAAACCAGCAATTTATAAACAAAGCATAAAAATTTCCTGTCTTCTTGAGGTAAAAATCAAAATTCTTAAATTTTTTCTTCAAAATAACCTCCAGATATGTCAAAAAGATTTTAAAAAACTAAAAGCATAATATTAATACTAAAAAATTAATGTACAAAACCAGTTATAATTAAAAAGCCTCAAAAATAGACCAACCGTCTGGACACGGCAATGAAAAAGCATGCTTTTTTTGAGGTAAAAAATAGAAATAATTTTCTAAAATACAAAATACAACCCCTATATGTTAAAAAAAAAACTATAAATAATCTAAATATAAAATACTTAATCAAATAAAATAAAATATCTTTAATAAAATTTTGAAAAAGGACCTCAAAAAGACAAAAAATGAAAACGTTAAAGAAATCCCTTGCTTATTAAAAAATATAAATAACCTATTTTTTAGATACAACCCATATATGTAGAAAATATAATAAATAAACTGTATTTAAAAGATAAAAGCAATAATTAAAAAATTCCATAAGAAAATTTAAAAAAGGACTTCAAAATAACCCATAATTGAACATACCAATAATTGAACATACCAATAAAATATCTTGCATCTTAGTGAAAAAAATAGAAATAATTCAAAATTTGTTTACAAAACAACCCATATAAGTGGAAAACACCATAAATAATCTGTAACTAAAATATCTAAACAATTAATTAAAAATTTTGTTAAGGTCCTCAAAAAAGACATAAAATTGAGCACATGAATGAAATTTCCAGCTTTTTAGTGAAAAAAAGAGGTCCTCAAAAAAGACATAAAATCGAGCACATGAATGAAATTTCTAGCTTTTTATTGAAAAAAATAGAAATAACCCTAAATTCGTAAAAAATAATATAAATTACCTTAGTCTTATAAAAATACTAACCACGTAATAAAATAAAAAATAAACTTGATCTCATCAGTTAACCACGTACTATACTAACCACGTAATAAAATAAAAAAGAAACTTGATCTCATCAAGTAAGGCTTCAACTTTTTCCGGTATAAAATATGAAAACTAAAAAAGAAACTTGATCTCATCAAGTAAGGCTTCAACTTTTTTCGGTATAAAATATGAAAACTATAAAATAAAAGTATCTTACCATGTATAAAAGTTATTATTAAAATTAAAATATATATATATATATATAAAAGATTAGAACTAATTTAGCAAGAAGCGGAAAGTAAACACTTTTGAAAGTGTAAATACTTTTACTCTGTTGAATTTTTTTGTATTTTATCGATAACAGCAAAGTTATGTATTTTAAAGTTAGGAAAAATATTTTGATGTTAAGCAAAACCTGCTCCATCTCGTTTTACATAAATGTTGAAAATTTGGTCGAAATTGATGCATTGTAACGAAAGTTTTTAGCGAACACCACTTATGAAATTTGCATTTTATTAATATAGATATATATATTATAAATTATACATTTTACATGAAGGGCCATAATGAGGGCCAACAGCCCGAAACACGTCCGTGGTTAGCTTTTCTTGATTAATCAAGAATGGATATTTGGCCAAGTCTGGAATAATTGAAAATCAACGAGAATAGTTGATATTTATTCCGATAGATGGGGCAAGCCATCAGAAACTTTCAGTTGCACGAAAGGAGATGCCTTTTTTATAATTTTACATAAATCAGTACAAAGATTACTAAATTTGAAATCCTATTTAACATGCCGTTGTGTGAAAGTTGTATGCTGAAACATAATGTATAGATAAAACATATATGAATGATACATAAACTCAATACAAAGTTTATTAAATTTGGAATAATATTTATCATACCGTGAGTCAAAAGTTGTATTTGTAAATATAAAGTTTGATAATTCTGGGATCTATTGAAAGGCAGTTACATCTATATTCAACACTGTGATTATTAAAAGTAATATATTCTAAACATATAACTTATAAAGAGTGTTTTATAGTTATTTGTAAATATAGATAGAATATTCTTCCTGATTTGAAATTAGACGAAAAACATGGTGAAGGAAAACGAGTTTCTTTTATTGATGCATAGGTGCAAGCTTTCGGGTGAAACCCTTCAACAGGCAAGCAATGAAGCGCGACTTATAAGAACTATGGTACAAATGTTAGGAAGAATATATATCCTTATATCTATAAAAATGAAATGCGAAATCGATGTTTGTTATCGCATCACGCAAAATCTACTGCCTCAATCATTATGGAATTTCGCATGTAGGTAGCTGAAGATTTCGTTTAACATATAGGCTATTCAAAAAACTACAAAGGTTAATGTACTTTTTTTAAAAATTATTTAACTGAAATGGATTAGTTCGCGCCTTTTGCCGCTTGGCGCCGCACTGGTCGCGACGAACTTGATTGTGATTGGCTAATAGCTTTACACTTAGTTTGTTATTATTACACGCTTCATTTTTGAAAGGTAAGATTATATACATATATTTATATTTTTTAAAATCTTTGGAAATATTATTGTTTAGAAATATTTTTCTAATTTAATTGCTACTACGTTTTTTTAGATAAGGTATACTGTTTGATTCTCTTAGGAATATTCATTTTATATTATATATTCATATAATCATTTACGATTTAGACTATTGTTTAGAAATATTTTTCTAATTTCTAATTATGTTTTTTTCTGTATAGCTTACTACATATATTTTACTATATATGTTTGTTCCATGCAATATTTTATATTGTAAGCAGCTTCTATACATTTTTAATAACTGCTTTTTTTAGGGGTAGGCTCAATTTATTGGGCGTTTTTTTTTTTTTAACCAAATTAGACTTTTTTTTTAGGCCTTCTTCCATTGTCTTTTTTTTTTGCTGTCATTTGTTTAGGTAGTATTTATATTTATCTGCTTCATAATATGTAGCTGCTCATATATGTCTATATAAGCTCAATTTATTGGGCAGTTTTTTCAACCAAATTAACTTTTTTTTTAGGCCTTCTTCCATTGTCTTTTTTTTTTTTTTTGTTTTGCTGTCATTTGTTTAGGTAGTATTTATATTTATCTGCTTCCTAATATGTAGCTGCTCATATATATCTATATATGTTCTACTCATATTTATTGTGCATATTTTTTTCAGCAATAGGCTCAATTTATTGGGCAGTTTTTTTCAACCAAATTAGACTTTTTTTTTTAGGCCTTCTTCCATTGTCTTTTTTTTTTGCTGTCATTTGTTTAGGTAGTATTTATATTTATCTGCTTCATAATATGTAGCTGCTCATATATATCTATATAGGCTCAATTTATTAGGAGGTTTTTTTCAACTAAATTAACTTTTTTTTAGGCCTTCTTCCATTGTCTTTTTTTTTGTTTGTTTTGCTGTCATTTGTTTAGGTAGTATTTATATTTATCTGCTTCCTAATATGTAGCTGCTCATTTATTTATTGTGCATATTTTTTCAGCAAATTATACTTTTTTTTTTACGTCTTCTTCCATTTGATATTTTTTTAATCAGTTGTTTTACGTTTTCACTGAGTTTTATGCATTTTTCCCCTCCTTCCAGATTATTTCTATGCATTTTTTTATTTTGGCCTTAGTCATGAGTCGAGCTTATTTTAATACACTATTTTTAATTTTTTCTTCATTCTCAGCCCTTGATATTTTACATTTTTCAGTTATCCTTATTTTTATTTTTACTAATGCTTTGTGTTTGTAGGTATGCCAAGCCATAGGAGAAGCAATCTTTCTCAGCGTTCCAATAGCTCTAGGGTTCAGCATGCTTACAGACTGCGCGAAACCAGAGGACAGAATATTCGAAGATTGCGTGCACAGTCCGCGCGTCAAGCCGCTGTGCGGTCGTTAGAGACACCTGATCCCATCCATTCTCGCTTACAGGCGCATTCAGAAATATATTCTTCTACTCGGAGGAATACTAGAACAAATATTTTTTTCAGCAGCGTTTGGTCTTCTATGGAAAATGCAGGTTTTGATTATTCTGCTGCTGTTGAATACTTCAAGCACCCTTTAATTTCCCTTGGGATGATGGACACTAC